CCCCCAGCCCGTCCTTTTCACCACCGCTGTGACCTCGCAGCGACCCACGGGGATGATAGCAGCGCCGAGGTCAAACTACACGTTGACGGGAAGCAGTAGCGCCAAACTCAACAGGTGCCGGCCGCTTCAAAGCTTTCATAAAAAGCGAGATAGAGAAACCAAGACGGCCATAAAAGCAGCTGACGAGGGAGGGAGGAAAGAAATAAGGTGGCTGAAATGCGAGAGGTTTCGTTTTAATCCACAGGAATTTGTGGCCTTAAAAGCACAGCGCCGCTATGGTTTTTATTCTCCCCCAGCCAGCACTTTTAGATGGAACTGGATTCTGGAGTCAGCTCTGTTATAAAACAGTGAAGAGGAGTGAGGAGCTGTGGGAAGGGTGTGGCAAACAAGGGATGAAATCCAATTCAACAATCGGAATGTTTCAGCTGACACAAGGAAATGTAATAAAAATTGATTATTTTCAGCTACAGAAATCATTTTGTATATAGAGGCTGATGACATGTTGCTAAAAAATATTTATATCTGAGGGAAAACATTTGCCTTATACAGCATTCCTTTTGCTAGACCTTCATTTTGTCACTATTCCTGCTGGCATTTACAATCAAAATATTATTTTGTAATGCTCTGGAGCGAAAGCCTGTGACTGTACACCTCCACCAAGCCCCTTAAACATTCTTTACTAAAGTTGCGGTACATGTGCACAAAACAAGTCAGTTTAAGGGTTAAAAACAGCTGAAGTTGATCCTTAACAGACTGAAATCAAACCCAACAGTATTCTCCAAATTCTTACATTCACGATTACATTTTCAAATGTAATTCCAGCTTCAAGCTGTCCCGTTTTTAAAAAATATATGTGAAATACATTTATATCAATGTATCTAAATGAGTGATTGTTCAGATGTTTGAGGCGGTTTGGGTTGTTATGAGCAACAAGCAATTCATAATGAATATGCAAATGAGCTGGTTTGAAGCTGTTCTTCAGGAAACAGACAAATAAATAATCCGCAAAATCTCTTCTGAAGATCTGAATGAATTCATAAAAAGTGCAAAGAGGATGAAGCAGGAACTCCATCACATGGCACACCTCGGTATTTTATTGTTTCATTGGGAATAATTTCAAACAATTTGATTGTTTTGTTTTTGGTGCCAAAGAAGAAGAATTAAAAGTCAGTCGGATCCGTAATGCTGAAGACCGCAAAGCCAGAAATGTTTAGTTATGGACTTTGAAAGTGTTGTTTTATGAAGCACCAGACCTCTCGGCTGTCTTTCTGCTGGGTCACGTCTGCTTCCTGCCTTTCCACACATCACATATGATATGACTTTATCTCTCAGCTGTTTTCTTCGGTTTCCTTTATATGTTATACGTCTTTTTATGATTCATGTAAAGCACTTTGAATTGCTTTGAATGCTGTACACAAATACACTCGCCTTGCATTAATGCCAAAAGATTTAGTGTTTTATTTTTCAAAGGGTTAGAAAGCCTCTGAAACAACAACTAAACCATCATGACAAAGTAAAGTTCTCTACTGGACCAGATTAAAACACATATAGTTTAAAGTTAAGCAGCTTATTTTAAGGCTACAGCTATGACTCTAAGAAACGGGGGAAAAAACATGAAAAGCTGCTTTTTTCTGCTGCTGTGGTCGAGTATTTGATATTTATTAGAAGGCCAGTATCGCTCTTGGTAGGACCCCAACACTGTCCTAATCATGTCTATTAAACATGCCTGGCATCAGAGAGCTTCCCTTTCATTTCACTGTTGTACACCGCTTTTTATTTCCCCCCATCCGCCTTTCATTTCACACGCCCACTAAATTAGCTTGGTGTGCAAGCTGTGCTAATGGCTTTTCATGTCCATATCAGAGGCGCTTAAGCCTTGAAGACAAAAAGGCCCCAATTATCCCATAACACACAGCAGCCGTACATATACATATCACACTGGAACATCGCACTCTGTCTCTTTCTAAGTCACAATAGCGCCGGCTATTATAGATGATCACCTTTCCACTTATTTGTCAGATAGCTTTTGGATTTGTTCTGATGATATACAATGACTCGATGCTTTTAATGTGAACTTCATTTGTGTCTTCACACGGCGTGGGCATCATGTGTAGCCATTCCTCAGCCGCAAAGCCCATTTCATCTGTAAAAGGAGGTCCTTGATCATTCTTAATTAGCATCTAAACTGGAAGAGGAAGTGCATTAATGGTTGGCTCGTTGTCAATGCGGTTAATTAACACCCAGGAGGTTTCCATTATCCTGAACAAATAAATTAATAAACCAACATTTCAGTGACCCTGAGAGAGGCTTTCTCAAATCAAAGTCTAATTTAAACAGCGCCTTCTTCAAACAGGAAACGGTCAGGGGTCTGACAGCACAAAAGGCCAACATGGCGCTTTACTAGCCCAGAACGACTTCATCGTGACAAAACATGAAATAAAAATCAACACTATGTTTGTTTGTCCCATTTAGAGTATTATAAGGTCAGCGTGAGCATGTGTGTCGTACCGATTGTCTAACGGCATGGCCAATCAAAACACCTGAGTGTTCTGCTCTTGTAATTCAATTTTTATGATGGTTAACCAACGTACACTAAACATTAATGCTCTGAGTGACAAAGGCAGCCGAATTTTGACTTTGGTGTATGTGGGGACCTAGTCTTGACCTCAGTGGTGTTAAAATCCTGGCTTCGGCCCTGTCAAAGAGGGGCCACCGGAGCAGCTTCTTGTCTGTCCGTCAAAACCTGCTCTACAACTGTTCAAACCTCACAGGACATTTGTTTTAGCTATTTTACCTGACTGCCACTTCATAATAGAGCCCTTAAATGTATAAAAAAACAAATAAAGTTGATCTTTAACGGACAACAAAGCCAAAAATACTATCTACTCTCTTCTACATTCATGATTATGATTTAATAATTCAATTAAAACTTTTTTTTATTTGAAGCTAACTATTTTAAGTATTTAAATAAAACCATAGACTATATTGATGGTGATTGTGTGGGTGATTCATGTCTAAGTGTTTTGCCTCTAATTTCACTTTTTCTACTTGACTTTGAAAGAGGTTATGGATGTAACGCACAATAAGCAATTCATAATGAGCATGAGAATCAGCAGATTTTACGGAGGATTGATGACAGGAGTAACTGGAATTTTAACATTTGAAATGAATTAAATAATCTACAATTCATTGAAGAATTTCAAATTACAGAAAATATAATTCATAAAATGATTAGGAAAAATATAAATAATAACTTATTTGAGACCTTCTTTTTTGGTGTCTGGTCAAATTTTTCTGAGAATATTGACAGGTGTTAGGACTCTCATTGCAAGTGTCAGAAATAGGATGATAATATAGAATAAGTATATGGGCGAAATGAAAGTTATGCGGTTCATGTGGAAGGATGAAATTACATTTTTACTTTAAAGAATGAAAAAATCTGTCCAATTTTTCAAATACATTTTTATACATTTAGTGAACAAACTCTCATGACGTGAATAAAAACTTTAGTTAAAGAAATCACTTTCACATCACTTTAGATTATTTTCACGCATTATCAACAAGTTTAACATCACCATTACGATGAAAAAAGAAATTACATATGCTGGTATATTTTTATTATTGGTCTAAAAAGCTAAACAATTTTAGATGATTAGTGGACAGCCAAAAACTTCATTGTAATTCATCATTAAAATACTTTTTCAAGCAAAAATTCCATGAATTAAGATTCTCTAGCTCAATTTGTCACGTATAATAGTCATTTAATGTACTTGGATAAAAGATGCAACATTGCACTCTGGGAACTTGTGATTTGAATTTAGAGGCAAAGCCATTAATCGCAAAAATAATAATAAGTCATTTGCAGTTTTCTATCATCTCTCAAATTTTGCTTTCAGAGAGCTTTTCATCAAACACTGACCTGCAGCAGAGCGAAGTGTTTAAAGTGGCAACTGTCATTTTGTTGCACTTTCCCTCCGCTGATAAGAGACCCTTTTTACCCGAGTGCCCTTGAGCAAACACTTCCTGAGGAATGACAGCTGGAGGCTGGTCGTTATCAGATGAGGATAAATCACGGGCAGCAGCAGCAGCAGCAGCAGGGTGACAGTGAAAAACAAACAGTGACTAGTGCCTCATGAGCTCACAGTAAGTGATCCAGATCTGGAGAAGATATTTACAATAAATGTAGTTTTTGCACCAGAGTATTTTTTATATATTTTCTAGCCAAACTATTCACCATCCTGCATTTATTTTGCTGTCAGTATGATAATGATTGTATCCTCACATGATCACCTAAATGTAAATTCTGATCAGATAAATTCCTAGGAATGCAGCTGCCCTTAAAGCATCTATTGGTCTCCTGGACAAAAAAAATTAGAGGCAGCCATCGATCAGCCTCGGCCAATTCAAAACGCGAGAGGTGGACATGTTGCGATAGCAGCCCGCTAATCTTGTTGAAAAGTCCGCGGGGTCATTTATCTAAATCAGTGTCACAGAGCGCAAGTTCGCGGCTCGCCATGGCCGCCCCTCCTGTCATGTGCGGCCGGGGAGGAGGTGTGGAAACGCCGCCTGTGTTTACTCTCCACATTCCTCCAGCCCGCTGCTCTCTGAACTGAACTGATCTAAGACAAGCCATACATCAGCAGGTTTGGGGCTGCTACCACTGCTGAGAATTTATGACGGCGCACGGTGGTGAAATATGACGTTTTGGGAAAGTTCTGGAGAGTTTTCTGCGGAATCTTACCATGAAAAACAAACTTTTTTTGTTGTCATCACACACAATTTTACTTTATCATGTCACTCTAAAAATATACCCCCTCTGTGTTTAGATAATTAATCCTCCTATTGTTTTTGTGAAGCGCCTGTGATGCGTTCAGGCGTCCTGTTTCCAAGAGTTTTCCAACAACTCCTAAAGTGCAATTCCCTAATTTGTCTGATTTGAAACGAGCATTATCAGATCAGCAGTAATTATAAGATCTGGAGGCCCCCCTTTTTTTGGCAAACTTGTTGTGACTCAGACTCATCAGACAGCACTCATCATCACTCAGAGCTGCATCCACGCGGCTTTAAGTCGAGCCAATAAACCACAACACCAACAATAACAAGAGACGAGGAGAAGTTGGACCTACAGTGTGCGCTCCGGCGGTGCTGCCACTCTCTGTGCGCCAGTCCGCTGATGCAGGCTTTCAGAGCCTTCTCCTGCAGCATGCAGGAGGACGGGCTGGACGTGTAGAAATCCAGCATCTGCCCGGGACTCACGGCCAGCACGTCCATGCAGTCAAACATGATGACGGCGCGTCGTTCAACTAGTCTTGTGCGTTATGGATAAAAATCACCGGCATAAGCGCACACAACTCCATCAAACTCCGCTGATTCTCCCCCCTCCTCCTCCTCCTCCTCCTCCTGCTGCTCCTCTCCTCCTCCTCCCCTTCTTCTTCTCCTTCTTCTTCTTGGCACGGCAGATTTCGCTCCTCTTGTTCTCCTTCGTCCCGCACCGGAATCATGAATTATTTCGGACCAAAATGCTCCACGGCTGCTCTAAATGCTCCTTTGCCATTTCCTCGCATCGTGTCCAGTCAGCGCGCTGCCACGGACGTGTGAACGGGACTTCTTCGTAATAATAATAATGATGTTGATATCCGACGTGTTTTCATTGAAGTCGTCCCGTCCCGGTTACCAGCAGCGGCAAAGCCCGCATGAACTGGAGGATCCTTCTTTTCTATTCTCAAAAATATCACGGACAGCGTTTAAACGCACGTTCTCCTCTCCGATGACGAATGGGTTATCCGTCCCCCCGTGCAGCTCATTTCCAACTAGTTTTGCCACCGAGAATGAAAGATTGAATTGCCTAATATATGCGAGTGAACTTTGCATGAACCCTTCCGAGGCTGCTGACCTTCATATGACCCATTCAGGCTGACATCACTGCAGCTCCGCAGCGCGGAACAAGGCGGAGAGAAGAAACGCAGGCGGACAAATCATAAAGATCCTTTTTTTTCTTCCTCATTCTTGGAAAGGATCAAATACAAGAGCGTCCCTAAAATTTGAATCGTTTTTTTTTTTTTTTGAAGCTGAGGAAGTATTACCACAGCTCGAGTGCGCTCTGAAGGGTGCTGCTTTCCACGCACAGTGACAGGAAAATGCTTAATTCCTACAGATATAAATGTCCATGTGCGTTACAGCACCAATAGGTATTTATATAATCATAATAAAAATAAATAAGTGTTTTTAATATCATAACATTTGACAACATATGTTAAAGACGATATTATCTGCTCAGTGTCATTAATTTGTAAAAAGGAAACATTTTTTCTGAACTTTATTTTGGCATATCTGGAGCATCCTGTTTTGCTTTTTCTCTTCAATAAAATGACACAAAGTCTTGAAAAAATGGGCAAAATCAAGATCAGTTGTGGTTCAGCACTGAACAACTTAAAATGTGAGAAGCATGTCGTCAAGGTAATGTATGTGATTGCTGCAAGCACTAATGATGACGATGATGATGACGACTGTATAAAGTCTTTGATCTTAATGTATTGGCAGAGCTTTACAGTAGATGCAGTAGAGTGAATGGAGCCAGGCTCTAATGGATTACAGTATATACTAATGTTCATTGTGTAATATTTGGATTTTAGACATTTTAAGGGAGTTTGTACTCAATAAACATAATGAGTTAGAATGTGTTCTGAGAAAAAAAGGCTCAGCATCATAATAAGATAATAATAATAATAATAAGCGAAGGCACAAAAAGACAGAATCAGTGTGATTGCTGCAATTAATACAATTTACTACAATTATAATGTTGGCTCATATCTCTTTAGTGATCACAGATATCTAGTATACCTGCAGCTTTACATGCCACCAAATCACTTTTAATAAAATAATGCAACTGAGCTGTAATCCTTCACTCCGCTACATTTTAGAGGAACATATTGCACCTTTCACTACATTCTGGGCTGTGGCCAAAACTTTAAAAATACAGAGGTCATGCAGTTTGATCGTGACCTCCTTGTTTGGATAAAGTTTTAATCTCCAAAACAGATGAAGCCAATAGGCGTGTAAACTCCAATCACACTCAGTCACATTTCTTAAGAAGTAAAATATCAGGCCTCTTAAAACAAAGCTCATGGTGAAACGTAGTGTTCATTTTAATTTGTTAATTGATTGTGGCATCTGTGACCATGTTCTTTCAAACACACACACACACACACACACACACACACACACACAGTTGGTTATATCATTGTTACATAAGGTCATACACACCATAGAGAAGGATACAAGAACCAAGTCCTAAATTTCAAAACAAAAGTCGGAGTTGATTGTTATTCTGCCGGACAGTTTCCACATCTGATTTTGAAAAAGGCTGCAAAAACCTCCATTCTCTAAAGCAACAGCATGATCTCAGAGCACTACATGTATTTGACTGCTATTGTTACGTTACAGATTAAGATTTTACACACAAAACACAGGATTTGTTTGTACAAAGCAGGACGATGCTTAGTTACAGATTAAAGCAGCCAACAGTATATAATCAGTTCAAATTCAACTCAGCTTCCACATAAAAAAGCTGCTCATGCAGTATTTCATCACTAGCAATAATCCAATAATATAATGGTCTAAAAGGGGCCATTCTGCAGCGTAATGAGCACTTCTACTTTTCACAATTTAACTACATTTTGCCGAATATACTTCTGTGTCTCTACTTAAGCTCAGGACTTTAACTTGTAACAGAGTATTTCTTCACTGAAGTATTGCTACTTAAACTTACTTACTTAAGATTTAAAAAGAGACATGAAAAACAAATCTCCCCCGAGGTTTTCTTCTGGTGTATCAGACCACAGACTGAAGTGAGAACAAATAGTGCTCGGGACGGGAGAGTCCAGGATGTAAAACTGAAGACCACAAGGAGCATAACTGTGGCCTGCAGCTGACTTGAAGGGAAAATCAGTTCTTTCTGAATGCAATTCACTCCTTTCAATAGTTGGGTAGTGTAGTAGTGGCCCAAAAAAAAAGATCCAACTGATCATTCGCATCAAAAGGTGTATTTTTATACACATTGTTCACTCATAAGCATACGTACTATTGTGAAAGTCTTCTCTTTGTTATTAAAAGGTGGTTACATGATGGAGTCGTGTTATGTGTCTCATATCTGATCAAAAAGTCAATCTCTCAATCAAATCATAGGTAACATATCTATCAGCGCTGATGCTGGTCTGAATGTGGCTGCTGGCAACACAACAACAGCTGTTACAGTCACATGCTAGAGCTTATGAGGGATCGGCCCGGCGCGGTTTCAATACAAAATACAACTTAAATCAATTAGAAACTTCATAGATGTATACTTTAGCTTTGATTAACAGAACAGAAGTGAATTTCTTTTTTTTATCTTCTCAGTATATATTGCAACGGAAAAAAAGATACATTTCTGGCTTATTTCACACACAAAGCTCTAATTCCATCCTCAAAAATGTTGCTGTTGATGTGAGCAGCAGTGTGCACGTTCATATATTTGTTTCCATGCATCTCAAATGCCAAATATTTAAGCTCCGGGTGCAGATGTTTGCAGGACAAATGATAATAGGTTTGGAAACTTCGTGACTGATAGTGTCGCTGCTACCGCGCGCTGATTTGCAACAGCATGAGTTGATAATGAGCAACAGGAAACTGAGCGTCAGCTGAATCGTGCACACAAACACAACCGCTACCGTTTCGTTGTTTGCTTTACTCAGCAGAGTAGAGGCAGATTCAGTGACACGCGACTCACTTCGTGATGCATTATAACCAGATATGGCCATTATAATCGTATATCGATTATATCATCGTGTCATTAAAAGTCCAGCAGCTGAACATCCAACCTCCTACCTGCTATGCACATTACGTTAATGGAATCATGTTGTGATTATATCAATCATCATTATACATTATATGCTTATGTGATGCCACATAATGACTTATGAGGACCGCTGCAGGTGAAATGTCATAATTTGGTTTTGTATAAATGAAATAGCATTTGTAAATTTAAAGATGCTTGTGTTCGGTTAAGCTAAGGTCATAATAAGTAATCAATTAACAGTACAACATGTTAGTATGAGGGTCTGATCAACATTTGAACACATAATAAGTACTTTTACTTTTGGTACTTTCAGTAAGTTTTGAATGCAGTACTTTACGTAAGCATCTGGGGCCCAGGGGACCTAGTGGTGAGCTTATGCTTTAAGCACTGAGGGGTCCAGGGACCCTCACAATACAGATGCAAAGGGGCCCAGGGGCCCAAGTGGTCAGCTCACTCTTTAAACACCAAGGGTCCTGGGGACCCCACACTGCAGGAGCTGAGGGGGGCTCTAGTGTTTAGCTCTCGCTATGAGCACATATTGGCCTTATGGTCAGCTTTCGCTGAGAGGGCCTTGGTGTTCAACCCTCATACTGATGAACCTACAGAGGATCATCACCTGAATCTGCAGCTCCATTTGGCCTAACAGAGCTTTATAGAGAGTTTTAGCTCATTGTTCAGCTGTTTCCACAACTTTACTGCTTTACTGTTCACTCTCACCAATCCATTGGTGTAGGTTTAAGACGCATCAGGCACCTGTTTCCAAAAAAGAAAGTTCTAAAAAACCCACTGTACACTACCTGCTCTGTACCAAACAGCAACTAGCTGGTGAACATAGTGAAGCATTTAGTAAGAAGCAGATGTTTTTGAGGAGTTGGTAGAGACCAAAAAAGAGATTGAATTACACTTGGAGGGTCACCACACACATGATGAATTATAATGTTGCTCTGTGTCTGCTGGACACAGACCGTTTCATCATATTAGCTTAAACAGTTATATGTCAATGGAGAGTTCACAACTTGTTTCCACTGCCCCCAAGTGGCCCAAAACAATAAAAGATAAAAACTTATTTTCATTATTTTCTAATTTAAAAAGAAAGAGGGGGCAGTGAGGGGGTCCCAAGATGTACAACTTCAATCCAATAATATCACCATCAGCTTTAATACCGACGTCATAAACCTACTCAAACATTCAGGCATGAAGAAAAACTGTAAATTGACTATATATTACATTACATTACATTACAGTCATTTAGCAGACGCTTTTATCCAAAGCGACTTACAATTCAGATTCTATCACATTTCTACACCGTAGGCACAGCTACGGGAGAAATTTTTTCATATATATATATATATATATATATATATATATATATGGTACCTGCAGCCCCAGTTGTCAGTGTGCTGAAAGCCAGATGCACACCAACACTTGTGATTGTGTTTGATGGAGTAAAAAAGGCAGTTTGAGAGGAGGCAGCGGCCTGAGCGCTGCACAGCACACTGATCCCCACGGAGCTCATGAATATTGCAGAGAGCCTACAGCAGAGCTGAAACAGGAACCCCTGGACCCCTCCGACACACACCGGCTGACCCCCTGCAGTTCAGCCGATGTAACAGTAACCCCCGGACACACACACACACACACGCGCACGCATCACAACCCCGGTCAGCGCGGGTAATGAATACACCTGAAAATCCACCTGTAATTAGAAGGTGATAATGAACCCATCCATCAAGATAAGCCGCTTTTTGGCATCAGCGCACCGCAGCTCGTGGCCACCGCTGCCAAAACTCACCAGGCTGTGACAATACACAGCGTAGCTGATCATTTAATAAGGCCGGGTAAAGCCTGACAGCTTCGTGGACGACACACACATGCAGCGGCTGCTGTTTTCACTCTGTACTGAGCTTCGACACGTCCAGTAAGTGGATAACTAAACCACCCTAATCTGCAGCTTCAGGTACACTTTAAATTCCCATTTCTTCTCCACAAGAAAAAACCTTATTTCATATCATATTTATGAGCAGAGCTGAATTTGGTCCTCACAATTCATCTGTGGGTCAAACCTCGTTCAAACAGCTATATTTAGTTACACTTGCACTTAGTCTATTGGTAATTTAATTGAAGCTGCGTGGCAGAGGCAAATATATTTTCCACTCCGGTTGTGTATCAATTCCAAAGCGTGCGTTGGAATTATGCCTTTGTGTAGGCAACATGATACACAGAGTGAAACTGAAGATTAGGATTAATTTTGGTGCGCATCATTAGCATAAATTCTTCATATTGAAACAGTAAGGGAGCATTTACAGACTTAAATACCTTCCCATTTCAGAAGTTTTTAATCTTATTAAAATAAATGGCACAGATATATATGGTTTAAATGTGTGTATATTTAGAGGTGCGAGCAGGCAGAGGATCAACAGCTTGTTCCTTCCAGGTTGTATTTAAAGCATTGATTGATATTGTCACTACCATTAAAGCTGAACCATCCATCAATGGATCATTAACCAACCAAAACAGACCTTGTCAAAAATAAACGGAGCACTTGTAGTGAAGGCACATGCTATATTAACCCCTCACACTGTCAACAAAACAACACGAGAAAGAAAAATGTTTTTATAAGGTGCTCCTACTCTGCTCTGGGTCCCTCATTCAAAGAGCTTTTCCTCCCATAGCCACACTGAGCAAAGCTGTGAGCCAGAATACGGCAGGGACTCTGAAGAGGCACAAAAAAACAACACAGAAAACGCTTTATTCTGAAAGTGTGTTGTTCACTATATTATTTTTTTACATTATCTGTTGCAGCAGGACTACATTACCCTCACTTCGACAAACAACAGTCACCCAAAAGTTTGTAAAATGAGTATATGAAATGTTATATATTTGCTGCCTGCACTAAAAGCCAGAAAAAGTAAATTTTTCCCATCAGGAAAAGAGTGACGGATACGCAAAAACAGGAAGTTTGACATTGAGATACAGAGGAAAGTAAGAATGTTGAGGTTGAGTGGGATGTGTGTGAGAGGACTAACCTTCAACTCCGACCAGCAAGCCTCAGTCATACAATATGACTTTTACTTTTCTATTATTAAAAACGTTGGGCAAACACCATAAACAAAGTGACTAAATAATCTTTAGGTCCAGTTAATAGACTGTTCTTGTGCTTTCAGTCGCATCTCAGTCTTCATTAGAGGAAGAAGTGAAAGAGTGACCGTGGCTGATATCATGGGACAGGTGCAGGGGATCTTGGGTTGTTATTTAGTTTTTAATGAAAAAAATAAAGTGATCCAAAAAATGTATTTGCTATGTTAAAATGTCAGCAGGATTCAAAAGAATACTCCAAAGCGCTGCTAGTCAAACTGAAATTAAAATACACTGGACTAGTTGTCAGGAGACTGCACTGTGAACTCTTTCCACTGATTCTGTGTCTGTGTTTGGTTTAGTGACCGTCTGATAACAACATAGGAAGTCAGTTACAGTCCTGCAGTTCACCGGGTCCCTGTGACCCCCTGACCCCGAGGGGAGCTCTCTGTGTCCCCTTCCTTCTCACTCTGCAAAGGGCTCAGACAATAATACATTTCAACAATAATAAAAACACAGACTCAATGCTGCCAGTTGATCGCTTATGGACAGCTATTTCCCCCCCTTAAACTGCAGTACTATTGTAAGATGGTGCAAACTATGATTGAGAAAAGCACATTGAGGGTTGTTAGCATGAAAGGTGACCGTATAAACCTCTTTTACAGCACTTACATCACAATGCTTTTCATAGTGCACTGAGTCAACAAGAATCATTATGAACACTTTGTGACTTTACGGTGGATATAATCAGAACATTATTTAAAGTACACATTTGTATTGTATATTTGTAAGGTGTTAAGTACAGGGTGGATAAGGGTTGAGAGCCCAGGCACACATATAATGACTGTATATAAGATGTGGACGTAGTTGCAGTGACATCAACCATTGGTTTTTGGACTACGGTTTTGAAACCTCCAGATTGGCATTTCAGCCCGTCATCTTGTTTTTTTTTACCAGTCAACGGAAGGAACCGTATATGGAGAGCGAAGGAGTGACGTAGAGACGCCGTATACGGCTCTGGTAGGGTAGCGACCTGTCAATCACAACCACAATCACTTGAACACTTGAAACTAGTGATTGAGACCATGAACTCATGTTCA